CTTGCGAGCAAAAAAAAATACCACCGTCTCGAAAGGTTTTAGCTGAAATTCTGGCCTGCGATTTCGTGTTGCTGAAACGTGTGCACACTCACACACACACACTCACACTTATTTTGTGAGAAGCGATGGAGAGTGACCTAATTTGATCCTTAAAAGAACCTCCCTGAGCGATAAGATGTCCTGTTGCCCCTGATGGCAATGCAATACGCTTTACCAGCGCCTTGGTTTAGACCTGGGTCTGAACTAACTTTACTGAAGGGAGAGAGAGAGAGAGAGAGAGAGAGAGAGAAGGTTTTGAGACAAAGTGAGGAAACGCAGTATTAGGGAATGTGGCTACAGATAAAATGAAGCAGAAGGCAAGGGATGATCTGTGATAAAATCTATGGGAGGTTGAGAAAGTTTGCAAGTGAGAGGGAGAGCACCATCTTGTGTATATGACACGCCATGAGGCGATGCAGGTTAAATAATAATAGTAATAATAATAATCCCTGCATTTGATACAGCGCCTTATCGAGGGAGGCAACGTAAAGTATGGGGAGCCAAGCGCTTGCCTGTCAAGATTGGTTCATTGAAAAAAAAATGACTCCACGGCTGTTTCGAAGTGGGTGAAGTGGGTCAAGAGCGAGTTTTGCCTCGGTATCTGCAAGTGTGTTTGGGGGAGGAGTGGGATAGTTTGATGGGGGTGGGTGGGGGGAGAGACACAGGACTGAACCGCCAGAGGACCCAGAACGACACTGCACTGTACAGTATCTTAACACATATGTATGTTCAACATCAAGCGGCACCTTAAGCCAATCAGGCAAAGAACAGGATTTGGTTTAAAGAACAGGAGCCCCGCCACATACAGCAGTCAACCACAGCTACACCATAAATCCACAATTATTATGGTCAGTTGCCTTAAATCTTTTTTTTTAACGGAAAACAACTGACATGCAATAAATTAAAGTTAAATCAACTTTTTTTTTAAAAAAAAGGGCTGTGCTGATTTGTGCTTTTGGAATCTAATAAGAAGAAGAATTGCATTTGGTATTCGAAGTAGGTGTTCTGCTGTGCACATTTCCCAGGCCGATGTATGGACAGAATAAATTTGAAGTGCTTTGGGACATCCAGAAGACGTGATGATGAGGCATTACATCAAATCACAGAATCATAGAATTATACAGCACAGGGGGAGGCCATTCGGTCCATCGTATCTGTGCGGGGGTCTTCGAGAAGAGTTATCCAATTCAATCCCACTCCCCCGCTTTCTCCCCATAGCCCTGCAAACTTGTCCTCCCCAAATAATTATCTGCTTCTCTCTTAAAAGCTGTTACCGAATCGGCTTCCACCACCCTTTCAGGCAATAATAAGGATTATTGTTATCATTAATTATTATAGTTATTCCCCCTTCTCCCACCCCTCCCTTTCCAGGTCAGCTCGTTCCTTACACATATTAAAAACAGGTGATATCACTTCACAGACGCTTCCAACGACTAAACCCACCAAGCGACCTGGTGACCGGTGAGATGGTGCAATAGACAGACAACGAACGACAAACAAAATGGATGTAAAATAGGATTTGTTTTCCAAAACAAAACATTGGGTGATTGAGATTCATTCGCCTGATGAATATTTACTGCTGTATTTGAAAGACAATAGGCATTGACAAAGACAACAGGCAGCAAAATTGCTGTCAGGTTACAGTTTTGACCTTGGGGAGGTTCTCTCAAAACTGAGTAGTTGTATCCAATGTGTTAAAACTTAAATTAGAGTTTGTAGGCTCGACCGAATGAGATATCAAGTGGACTAAAGCACCTATCTGTATACCTAACGCCTGTTTGTTTTGAGTATAGATCTCCTTTCAAGTTTGCTCGCCTCTCCCTCCTCAACACCCCACCCCCCCCCCAAAAAAAAATGTTGATTTATTTTCAACTTAACGAACCAAAACTGCAAGTTTAACCCCTTCCTACCCCCCCCCCCCCCCCACCCTCGACTGGTGTGCATCATTGCTTTTGATATGGCGCCTGACCACGTCGTTGAGACGTATCGAAGCGCTTCACAGAATATACTGCAAAGTGCATTGACTGTGTATTTTGTGAACCAAACGAAAAGAGATTGGTGGGTATCTGATTGTGTGTGTGTGTGGGGGGGGGGGGGGGGGGAGGAAAAGAGAGAGAACAAGTCTGGAAAAATCTACTTTATGCAAGTGTTCGAGTATTTTAGCACTTTTGTCCTCCCAGATACACAAAAACCTATGTCAAAGATTGACACAACAAAATGTTATTTGTTGAGATTATATTTATATAATAAATATCAGCGACTCAAACCTCCAGCAAATCGTGAATGGTTTAATGTCAGCTAAATGCCATCGTGTATTATCCCTGTTTTTTTAAGATTTCAGGCCAAAGGTTATATTGTATTAACAGCGATCCGACCGTTTAGGTTGAAGCCAATGTGAGCGATTTTAAATTAGGAAAATCTTTTTTTTAAATTTATATGTTAAACAAACTAATAAAACAAGTCAGTACCTGAAGCCAATTTAATGTTCCATTGCTCCAATTGAAACAAAGATCAACCAGAGCAAATTTAAAGGCTGAAATTGCAACAAATAAACAATATTAATGCAAGAGCCGGTTGCTTTGACTGCTAATCACTTTACACCCATCAATCACATAGTAAACCAGATAGACGGTCACGGTGCATAGTTATAGATGTTTTTGTTCTGAATGGGACACTAAATACATAGAGAGAGAGAAAAAAATCAACATATTCCGTTTTCAGAGCTTCGTCAAAAAAAGTTGCACTTTTAGTTAACGTTGTTGTGGTCACTTGTCCGGTTAAGTCGCCAGTTTATGGTCTGGGGAACTCGGTTATTAAATACCGATAGTCCTTACATCACTGTAATACGGGGCTGGCGGGTTTGGGTGTAATATTGCTGCGGGGCCGGTTGAGTTATCGCCACCAGAAGGGGTTTCTGGTGCATATTTCAACAACAACAACATATTTCGGGGATATTTGTGGGGGCACATTTCAATGGTGTTCTGACTGATGGCACTTCAGGGGTCTCTCAGACATCTGTTAAACTTGCCTCCAAATAAGAAAAAAGTTGAACGCGAGTTGGAAAAAAATATTAATGGAGCAATTAGATAACCGTACAATATATCAGGTTAATAAACTTCCTGTGTGCGACTTGAGCATATAAGACAGAGAGAGAGGGCGGGGTGGGGGGGGGGGGGGGGGGGTGGGGGGGGAGAAATCTCCAAACAGATGTTGACAGCGGTTCCAATTCAGTGATATTCGCAGATGAAAAAGACAGACTTATTGCTCTGGCACCAAAATAGGCGCCCAGAAAGAACTACGGAAGGGTCTGGAGGGAAACTAATGATGAAAAAAAATGTCTACTCCCGTCTCAGTTGCCTTAATTAAATGCATGGAAAGAACCGAGAGAGCCTGACATCTGGTTTCAATATGGATCTCTTTGATGATCAAGTGTTCTTTCCCCATATCAGGGCCGCTGGAAGTAATGGGATGTCTATTGCAGTCTCCTACCATTTCCACACATGCACTCGCCCTCACTCACTCCTGGAGGGATCTGCTTCCCGGAATCCTCACGCAATCGCTAATGAGCACCGCGTATTGAGAAAGGGGAGCACTTATAGGGTGTCTTATGGGGCAGTGTCCTAATATAGAAGAGAAGCGGACTCGGACGCAAAGTTATAAAGCAATGATTACACGTTGCAGGCACCACACACACACACACACACACACACATCCGCACACGCGAAAAAATACTGAGCCCTTTGCCAAGTGAAAAGTAATGAAACTGCATTTTAAGCAAAAAAAATGCAATATTTCTACCAATTCTTTAAGCACCTTTCTTTCCCGTATTTTTTCTTCTCTATCTTCGCTGAGCATAATCAATCTCTCCCTCCCTCCCCCTCTCTCTCTCTCTCTCTCCCTCTCTTGATATAATCTCCTGCCTACATCATCCCACCTCGCTCATAACACTGTGATTGCGCGTTTAATAAGTGGTGCTCTGATCACCCAAACACAGCGCAGATTGGCACATCTTTAAATATAATGGCAGTTAATAGACCTCCAGACACTTCTCTGCCATGCAATTCCTACCGATTAGCATCCACTTGCTACTTAAAGTCGAGTTGACGCTGGTTATGTAGGTGAACACATAGCCATACCCTCTTTGTATTATTCCTTTGTTTTTGCCTGGAATAAATAACCATTCAACTAAGAGCATGAGGTGGATTCCCCCCCCCCCCCCCCCCCCACCACCCCCGCCCCCCACACACACACGTTTAATGTTTAAAAAAAACTCCATCGAATCGTATTATAAAAAATATGCAGATTAGTTCTTCAGAGGCACAGTCTGGAACGGACTACATAGAGAGAGAAAACGCGCATTTCTTTGATGTATTTTGCTAGCTGTCAGTTACCCCTTTCTATTTTTTTCCAGATAATTACGTCTTATTACGAAATACAGAGGGTTTAGGAGAAGGAAGGAGGGAGCAGAGAGAGGTGGGGAGGAAACAGAAGGCAGATCACATTGAGTGAGCAGAGATTTCCTTGAGTCGCCCTAATCAAAGTGGTGGGAGTGCTGCTATTGGGAAGAGGGTCTGTGGAACATCAGAGCTGGAGAACACGGGGGGTTTTGCCACGTAATTATATGCTGGTATTAACAGAATCTAGTCTCCCTGGGGTCGCCAATTTCTAATTTATTCCGCGCAAACCAGTCCCTGGCCTGCACTCCGCTCGCTGTCTTTTGAAGTGCCAGAAGAGGTTTTTTTTCTTCTTCTGTCTCTCTCCTCCTCCCCCCCCCTCCCTCCCTCCCTCCCTCCCCACCCCCCGCAATAAGAAGTGCGGCACACTTTAAGCGCCTTAAGAAAAAGTCAGCAGAACTCTTTCCCCTTCCGTGTGTGTGTGTGTGTATATGTGTGTATGTCTCCCTCTCTCTTTCTCTCCCACTTTCTCTCTCTCCCTCCCTCCCTCCCTCTCTCTCTCCCAGCCAGAGTGAATTGAAGAAAGCTCTCTCTCTCTCTCTCTCTCTCTCATACATCTGTAAAACATCATTCTTTCTTAAACTGATGTCACGTACGTGAGTCGAGAAGAGGAAGAACAAAGTTTTTCTGCAAGTTTTTTTTTCTCTCCCTCCCACCCCCTTGAAGCTGAGCGATGTAACTGTTTGCCGGATGACAAAAAAAAGTTACCAACTTTTGTTTGCGTGTGCGGGGGGAGTGAGAAGAGAAAGTTAACTTTTTTTTCTCTCTCCACAAAAGTCAAAGCTTCTGTGGCTGTGCGTTTTGCTTGGAAATCTACTCCGGACTGCGTTTGCCTTAAGCTGGAGAGGAAAACAAGGGCGCCGAGGAAGGAACAAGTTGATAGAAGTTGTGCGTGTGTGTGTGTATATATATATATATATATTATATATATTATATTTTTGTTGCGGGAGGGGAAAAAATTTAAATATTTGAGCCATGACTTCGAATTACCCGCATGTAATGGACAGGCAAACTGTGTCTGCTGTGCCCAATCGTTTGGAGAACTCTATCACGGCCAATCTCGACAATTTACAGTCCAAAAAGAATTTCACAGTCAGTCACCTGCTGGACCTGGAAGAGGTGGGGGACATGAACCTTCAGCAAGCCGACGAGGGCGTGAGTGAGGCGGGCAGAAAGCTACTCGAGTCCCCGGCGGCGACCAGCGGCAGCGACACTCCCCAACAAGAAAGTAAGTGGGTTATTTCTGTGTGTGTGAGTGTCTGTGTGTCTCTCACTCTCCCTCTGTGTTGGGGTGAGTGTGTGTGTGTGTCTCTCTCTGTGTTGGGGTGAGTGTGTGTGTGTGTCTCTCTCTGTGTTTAGGTGAGTGTGTGTGTCTCTCTCACTCTCTCTCTGTGTTGGGGTGAGTGCGTGTGTGTGTGTCTCTCTGTGTTAGAGGTGAGTGTGTGTCTCTCTGTGTTTGGGTGAGTGTGTGTGTGTCTCTCTCTGTGTTTGGGTGTGTGTGTGTCTTTCTGTGTTTGGGTGTGTGTGTATGTGTCTTTCTGTGTTTGGGTGTGTGTGTGTCTTTCTGTGTGTGTGTCTCTCTCTGTGTTTGGGTGAGTGTGTGTGTCTCTGTGTTTGGGTGAGTGTGTGTGTCTCTCTGTGTTTGTGTGTGTATGTGTCTCTCTGTGTTTGTGTGAGTGTGTGTGTGTGTGTCTCTGTGTTTGAGTGAGTGTGTGTGTGTCTTTGTGTGTGTGTGTCTCTCTGTGTTTGGATGAGTGTGTGTGTGTCTTTGTGTGCGTGTGTCTCTCTCTCTGTGTTTGGGTGAGTGTGTGTGTGTCTTTCTGTGTGTGTGTGTGTCTAAGGATAGAAGTGGGAGAGGAATTTCCGAATGGGACAAGGATTTAACTAATCGGATTATCACTTGCAGTCCCAGAGTGGAATCGTGCCATTAACACTTATGTGCAAAAAGTCTCATGGAATAATTTGTTACCCTCCAAAAAAAAGAGCAGCGTTATTGCAACCGCCTTTTTAGTGGCTAAATAATGCAAATAGGATTTGGGAAACGCGTGGGGGGGAGAGAGAGCAAAATATTCAGATACTGTAAGCAATTTTGAATAGGTTGACAATGTAAGGGGGTTAACTGTTAACACGGGAGTCGCTGTGCTGTGTAACAAAGCAGAGACAGGGCTGTTGCGAGCAAAACCCCCATAAAACTTGCATAAAATGCGCCCTTTGCAGTTTACGAATGCAGCACTAGCGAAAGCGCTAATCTTTTTTGCAAATCAAGAAGTAAACCTACGTAAAGAGAGAGAGAGAGAAAGAGAGAGAGAAATGGGTAGAGAGAGAGAGAGAGAAGAGAGAAAAAAAAGCAGAAGGTAGATGCATTAAAATACTTAGCAAGACAACAGAGGGATATAGCGACGCTAACCTTTTCCATACTGTAAAGAAGCATTGCAATGTGTAAGCGGGCAAAGCCAGACAGACCTCTAGACAGGCAGATTATCCAGGCAATTGGAAATATCACGACGGCACGTGTTATGTCGGGAACAGCTTTTATTTATTATTATAACAAATTATTAACTATTATAATTATTCATTATTATAACAGCTTTTATTGAAGTGGAAAATCTTCCAACACACACACACACTCACACACGTACGAGGTTAGTTGATGCAAATACTTGTCTTCGTTAAGAAAACCAAGGCTGGCGATATTAGTGGCATCCCCCCCAAAAAACACGCGTTTCCATTAAAAGTCAACGAGTTGGATTCGATAAAAGCGTTAACGTGTTCAACCCCCACCACCCCCACGCCTTACACACACACACACACACTCCCCCCAACACAGCAACACTGGCCGTGACAGCTGATCCGCTGATCCGATTAGTTTGATGAATCGATTTGCCATGCACCAGCGATAAAAGATGACGCTTTTGTCCTCAATTAATCATTGTTAACCGTGTAAAGCTAAGGAAACATTTACTTTTAATTACCCCCACGGCAGCACGTCAGGCCACAACAATCTCTCTTTGCCCTCCTCTCCCCTTTAACCCCCCTCCCCAAAGAAAAAAAAACACAAACTGATCTGTATCCCCCCCCCCAACCACCACCACCCACCCCTATTGGAAAAGTTCAACTCAAATCCATTTCGGTTTCAAATGCTTCCCAATATTCAAGAGCACACGATCTAACACACAATGTGCATTGTGTAGGATTTATGCATCATATTGATGCAACACTCTACATACATTTGGAGGATTTGGGGGCCAAGGCGATTGGAGGAATTATCACCCTCTTAATAATGAGTATGGAAACATTTCATTTGCTTCAAGTCCCCCACCCCCAAAACAAGAGGCTTCTTAACACCACAAAACACGCAGGGTTTCGCCCACCAAATCAATTCATTTTACAGTATATTCTGCGAAGCGCCTTGAGACGTCTCGAAGACGCGATAAGGCGCTATATCGAACGCAAGGATTATTATTAACCCACCTAAAGGAGGTGGCGGGGGGGGGGGGGGGGGGAGAATTTATTGAGCTGTGTTCTGTCTCAGTGATGGCAACAGTCTGCTCATAAAAGATAAGGGGGGGGAAGCGAGGGAGGGTTTGAAGCGTGTAAAATTCCCGGCTTCTTTCATCCCAGCGCTGGAGAGATAAAGATTGTTAGAAGTTCCCCGACAATGTGGGGTTCAGAGAGGTTTGATGCCATGTCTGATTGATGCGAGGTGTTCAGTGCATGGCCCTCTCTCTCTCTCCTCCCTCCACAGACTCCGACTGACCATTAGATACGGCTCAGGGCAGAGCCTGAACTCATCTTCCCCCCCCCCCCACCCCCTCACTCCCCCACCCCTCGTTTACCCTTTACATCTCTCTCTGACAGCACAGCAGATGTGAGTCGGCGCCGGCGAAGCGGAGACTCAAGTCTTGTTGCCCTCGTCTGTGAATCTGCCCCAAGCTATAGCCTTGCTCCAAGCTGACATTCCCCAAAAACACCCACTCCTTCCCCACTTATAGAACGAAACGCTATTCTTTTTTAAAAAAAATATATATAGCTGTCAGTTTCCACTACCTTTAAACCAACCACCCAATTTGCAAATACATTTCAATTGCTCAGGCCCACGTTTCGTTTAACAGCGAGTTTATTGCACTAAAGTGACCCACTGCAGGACAGGGCGAGGAAGAAAGAGAGAGGGAGCAAGTAACGTTTGCAAAGGCATGGAATTAACCGTATGAACGGGGGGGGGGGGGGGTGGGGAGAGAGTTGAGGAGGAAACTACTCATCTGGAATATAGACTGTAAAAGGAAAATTTGAGCCGGGGATTTGCGGAAACGTAACCCAGTCAACATACAGAGCCACTCCCAAACAACCCAGTTCAGCTGAAGTTCCAACTCAGTCTTAACTCACTTTCCCGACCGATATTTCAGCACAGCGAATTTCACAGAGGCTGCAGCCCCAACACAGCGGTTGTAAATTTAATTTAATTTTATGAACGTGCACACAAAAAGGAGAGTGGGCGTTCAATACACATTTTGTTGGGGGAAGGTGCGTGTGCTTGTGTGTGTGTGTGTGGTGTGTGGGGGGGGGGACCTCGAGGTAGAAAGCATTTTCTTTAGCAGAAGGGTTAAACTAAACACATCTCAAAGTAGTGGGTGTCCAGGTAGATTCTGTGACTGGCTTTAACACCCTACAGAAAATAAAGCTGTGTCAAACACATATATACCTCAGACTAGAAACATGATGTTGCTTACCTACCTACAGTGACACCCTCCCTCCCCACTTTACAGTGTGTCCAAATATCCTATTTGTGGATGGTGGGACAGGATAAATTGTTTGTTTACATCAGGGAAGGATGTCATTTAACAACCCACTTCACAGCATGTATTGCCCCCTCTTTCCATCTGTGAATAATTATTTAAATATGAACGTTTGATAAAGATTTTTTTTAAATAAAAAAAACCTACTGAATAAATCTCTCAAGTCTTTCCTCCACCTCTGATTTTTTTTAATATAAAAATTAATCTATCCGGCTTAAGGTATTTTCCTGGAGAAATCAAGTTTGGATTTTAAAGAACCGAATATTTATATCACAATCATAGATAGAAAAAAAAGGGGAGAGAGAAAGAAAAAAAAATCACACGTAAATATTGAATGAAGCAAACGGTTGCATCGCGCAGGAAATAATTCAATATTTAATAATTAATTACACTTTATTGATTTTCAAATTGGGTTTCGAACTGGAATAGGACAAAAAATGTACAGTCACTTGCCGCCTGCTCTCCCAAACGTGATGATGCCTTTAAAATACAGTATGCAACACACACCCATCACATACAAAACAGTAATTTCTTAAGAATAGTAGATCTCATATCTGCACCACACAATATATAATGAAATATATCATGCGTTGGTTTCCTATTGCATTGTGAAGGTACAGTAATGTACACGGTCGCATAATTCGTGGGAAACTAGCTCTCAGTTCAGGTTTATTTGGCAATTTCAAGGTTGCCTTTAGGTATAGAAATGCACATCATTCACTGTGGGACATTGCTGTGCGCAAACTGGCTGCCGCCTTTCGCCCACAAAATGCAGTGAAACCAATTCCCAGTACAGTATATCTTGTGAAGCGTTTGGAGACGTTGTGACGACGTGATGAGGCGCTCTATCAAAATGCAATTATTATTATTATTATTACAAATCAGCGAGCGCCAGACCCTCACAAAATAGGTTATCTCTTAGTATTGTATATGGAGTTAATTCACATGGCGACGCGTCCCTTCATTGGGAACTGTTGAGCCATTGAGACTCACTGTTGGGAGAGCCACGTTCCTGCAGCAGTTTAAGCCGCTTTTAACAACTGTTTAACTCACATAAAACGCGCTGCAGTGACTGGCAAACTCTCTCTGATCTCGGCGCAAGTTTCCTGTGTTAGGAAGTTCCCCTGCAGCGGGTTCAGTTCCATCTTATGGCGCTACTTGAGGGCAATATTTAGGCTCTCAGTGCGATTAAATCCCCTCATCAATCAAATACAGTCACAGGCTTTGGAAACGCCATTTACAGAGACAAATAGACCGCTGTTATGCGCTGTTCCTTTTAAGTGTGTGCGGAGTGGGGGGGGTGGGGGGGGGGGGGGGGAGTAGGAAAAGCTACAGCGCAAAATGTCACAAGTATTCGAACAGGAAAAGCACCGACTATGTGACCCACTTATAAATGCACAACATGCACACACACACACATCTGCAGACACACACACACACGCTCCTCCGAGGCGCTTGGAAAAGCAACGGGAAGGGAATTCATCTGCTAAAGGCAAAGGACACCAAATCAAGGGAGAATGTTGCAAACGCGCAGCTTTCGTAAATCGCTGTCTATCGAACGCTCGTCAGGTTTGGGCAGTGGTCGCTTCACCCTCTCAAAATGTGTGTGTGTGTGGGGGTGGGGGGGGGGGGGGGGATGCTGTAGAGAAAAAGAGGGAGAGAAGGAAATCGAAAAACGCATTCTCACACACATATATTATATACACACATGTTGTGTATAAATAAATAAGTAGAAGCACGTTTCTGTATGTTTCCTGATAACTCGTGGGTAGTTGAGTGAAGTCCATTCAAAATACAAGTTACACGGGGAAGGGAGTTGGATAAAAATGGGGGGGGGGAGAAAAAACACCATTTCAGGTCCTATATATGAAGCCTCCATAAGTCGGGATCTTGCAAGTGCTGTGTGTCAAGTGATCCGAGTTACTGTACAACAATAATAATTCTGGCATTTACTGCTGCGCCTGATCACAATAATATGTACAATGAGTGAATGTGCACTTGTGTTATTTCTCTCCTCTCTCTCTCTCTCTCTCCCCCCTCCTTGATTTGTTTTCTTCGAGTGAGTGCTGACCGATTAAACGGTGCGTGTAATTGTTTTTTTTTAAAAAAAATTTATGATGGTTGCGTGCAGGTGATAAAATAATCACAGAGCAGAAGAAAAAGCGGAAGCAGAGAAGGAACAGAACCACATTTAACAGCAGTCAACTGCAAGCGCTGGAGAGGGTGTTCGAGAGGACGCATTATCCCGACGCCTTCGTAAGAGAGGATCTCGCCCGCAGAGTGAACCTCACCGAAGCCAGGGTGCAGGTAAGCAGCTTCATACCACCCCACCCCTCAGAAACACTCCAGATAGATAGCCCGTTTGCCCATTTATTTACTTAGCCCTGGTGTCTGATACATGCGGAGACCCACATATAATATATATATATATGTGTATACATACACTATATATAAATAAAAAAATCCTTGCAAGTTATCACCGATCCACCAAGCTTGAGTGTCCAAACCCAAGCCAACCCACTTGCCTACCTACATACACGTGGAAACGCCAGAGAAAGAAGGTTTGCACGGAAGCCCACGTATGCAAGGACTGTTTGAGGAGGTATTTTCAAAGGCTATATAAGATGCGTTTTATATCATCAGAAATTCACCAGCAAGCACAACTGTGCAAAATGCAAGGATCGATTGATATATATATAACAGAACTATATATATATATATATATATCAAGCCGTTCTACTACCTCACACCTGTTTTGAGTCTCTTATTTGCCCCACCTTATCAAAGCCTTCAGGAAGTCAATACATATATTTTTATCTCTCTCTCTATATATATGTATATTTTAAAAACTCCTTGCCAGTTATCACTGATCTGATTGCATTGGGCAGGGAAACTAATTTTAAGGGGTTTCCGTTCCCACCTTTGTCCATTTCCGTCCACTGTTTATCATCCATGGGGTAAAAACACAACACACGCTGTTGTTGGCAGTGTACAGGACACTCACACCCCCTCCCTGTAAGGTTGACGAAAACCACAGAACAGGACGTGCCGCCGGGGTCCTGTTATCAATTAAATAAATTATAGCTCCAAGTGGTTCTTTTGCACCGACTAAAATGCAATCGCTGCTCTTTATTGAAAAAAAACTTAAGCTGTTTTAGTGGTTCAGTCCTTCAGAAAGAAAAAAAAACTCCATTGGGTGGAACATAGCGTTCAAAGCACACGGTTTGGAGATGAAGATTGGCCGTTGGCGCAGGAAATATTGGCTAAAGGGACGTGCAGATTCCTCGCAAAACGCACTGCTCGCGGGAACGTGCGTTTTTGCAGTCACTATTCGTTTGCCGAAATGTGAATGCACCCTACACTTTGCCTCCAGGCTTTACCTGTGTCCCATCCAACCTCCCACCTCCCCATTCCCCCCTTCCCATTAATCGTCAGCCTTTCCAACAACACTCACCTTTCCAATGAGAGATGGCAACATTGGGAATGTTACCGGGTTTGCTGTCTGTCAGGGGTTTTGAGAGTGGTTTAGGTTTGCACATGTACGGTTCTGACCCCCGGAGAGTGGCCCGTGTTGGGGTTATGTCTACGGTGTCTTGTGAGCAGAGGTTAGTTGTGTTGGAGGGAGTGTAGACATGTCAGAGCAGCACGTGAAATCTACAACTGTTCGCCATGTAATCCCACTGCCCTGAAACCCTGCGTGTAAAATAAACATCCCCATCAGATTGAACTACACTTTATTGCAGTCACAGCCAAGACTGAGACGTTTAACGGGGTCGTATTTTGCTTTCTGATATGGTTGGGGTTTGGCATAAATCTCCCCCCAATGTCGAAAACAGTCACCCAGACTGACTCGATGTACTTTTTTTTGGGGGGGTGGGGGGTGGGTGGAGCTTGCGAGTTTCATTAAAAGTCACAACCTATGCATATTCTTTCCAATTTGCTGGAGGTTCTTTAGGAGATCGTCGCGACCTTCATTTTCGGAGCTGCGACCTGCTTTTCGCGTGGGCAGGACTCGCAATTCAAGTGTAAAAAGCCGCATTCGTGTAATCTCAGCGCCCCCTCTTCAACTCACATCAACCGCCTTTCAGGGCGAGCTGTGATCCCCCCCTCCCCAAATGCACCAAGGCTCATGGTGGGTCTGTATGTATGGCATCTTTCCTCTCCCCCTACTCAGCACCAAGCGAAATGGGCTGAGTGAAACCTCCACCCGAGTCTCGATCTACCGAGATAACATTTCAGAGTGTGCGGGACGTGTCAAATTGCTCAGTTCAGTTTCAACTCCGGAGCTCTCGGTCCTGGAGAGAGTTGACAGAAAGTGGGTTTCCCAATTCACAAGGATCGCATCGAAGAATTTGCCCAATTCTCTACACTCTGAAATGTTGCCTCGCGTGGATACAAAATCTAGTCCCAGGTGAGATGTGTGCCCACCTTTATTCCGCAACAGAAAGTGTCTTTCGTTTGCAATTTGCATTCACTATATAAACAAGCGAAGTAAAGCCTAAATTATGGATGTCTACTCTGATCTTGAAATCCAAATCCTTAACTGTCCAGAGCTTTGGGACGTCCTCCCCATGTGAAAGGCGTTATACAAATGTATGTGTTGTTGCAGTGAAGTCTCAGGCATAACGACCCACCCAATTCAATCATTCCAGCCCATCATCATCATCATCATCATCATCATCTAGAAACTCAAAAGGCTTTACAGTAACTAATCAAGTGAGCGACCCATTTTGTAGCGAAATAAGCTACATTAACCCGACAACTATTCCCAGTGTATAAAACAGACAGCGAGTATCCAGGATAAGGATGAATATACTACAGTGTGGGCAATGGAGAACGACTGGGTGAAAGGTCAAATGGGATCATTTCGAGTGGAATTCGTGCACAAATTGCTCAATCTTCCAAGTTTTAAAGTGGGATGTTCAGGGCTAAAAGCGTAGGATTTTGTTTTGAGATTTGAGGGACTGGTCAGATCCCTGCGGTTAACACCAATGAAGTCGGTATAAGATCATTAGTAACAATAATAAGAATATAATCGTCCTGACAGCGCCCTTCGCGTGGAGGGGATGTTCCACAAAGCTGCACAAGTTAAACTAAACTGCACTGTGGGCGGTTTACAAAGGTTGAAATGCACACCTGGTCTCACCCAGCCCCAACATTCAAATAATAATTAATTTGATAGAGCGCCTTAATACATCGCTGAGACATCTCAAAGGGCTTCACAGAATATACTGTGAAGTTTATTAATTTACTGTATATTCTGTTGGCCCAGGCAAGTGATAAACACCATTGCATTCGATAGTAGTCCCTATAATATAAGAACATAAGGGTTTGATGGGGGTTGTGGGCAAGCCCAACAGATTTGCACACCCTAATGTGCCACAAAACCACGAAGGGGATGTCCCACACGATCTGGTTTAGTGTTGCCCAGGACACCGGGAGCGACTGTCTGCTCTTTGCGAATGGGCGTCAAGTGTGCGACGAGATTTCGGGTGAAATTGATGCAATGGCCTTTGGAAGGAGAACCACCTTTAAAACTGTTTTCCTCGTTGTTCTCCGGCAGGTTTAAAAAAAACCTCCCGAAGTGCACATTTCTGTTGGGTTTGGAGTAGAGAGGGAACACCAGTCTCCACCGAACAAGTGACATGTCGCTATTAAGCGCTGAGCATCAAAACAGAGGTTCAGACTGAGCAGAAAGCTCCATCGACCTCTCTCTCTCTTCTCTCTTGAAATATTACTGTTTATTCCATATCTACATCCACCTCTTTCTCAGATAATCTGTATTTAAACCTGCTGCAGCCAAGCTCCTTACTCCTCAATGTGCACTCTCTCTGGATTCCCAATTCAAGCCTTTTTTTCTTCTCAACGTTTAATCTCCTTTTTTCTTTAAACGTTTTAAGTATTTTTTTTTCCCGGGGAGGGGAAGAGAGGAGACTTCTCCAGCCCAGTATTATGCGTCTGTAACAAGTATTGTTAGACAAACGGTGTCTCTTTTGAGATGCCTTTCTGAGAAGCTGCAGCAATAATGTTTCGCTTTCGCTGTCTTGTCTGTTGAAGAGAAACATTATCCGCTAATAAAAGGTCGAGTTTTCTTTGGCGAAACGGAGGACGATCTTTATGTTTATCACGGCGGGGAAAGAAAAGGGGAGTCACTGGTTTTTTTTGGGGGGGGGAGTGGGGAATTTCAAAAAAAAAAGTGGAGAAATTGAAAATAGCCCGTTTTAGATTAAGTGCAGGTTTCCGCAAACTCACTGAGGAGACTTGGAAATAACTCACAGTCAAGTGGCCTTTCATGTGACTGCGAACTCTCTCCCTCTTTGAAGTCTGGGCACACATATTATGTTGGAATCATTGAGTGGGGCTGTTGTTTTCAGGCTGTGTTAAGAGCTGCTCAGCCCGGCAGCCCCCTGTGTGGGTGTGGATGCGCTTCTCAGAGGGAATGCAATTTGCAAATCGCTGCCAGTGCTAATTCCCGAGTTAATCAACGATTCCAACAAAGTTTTGCACCGATGAGCTGTTCGCCTGTCGCACGGGAGATAACGTGTCGACGTTCTCGATTAGTGCTCAGGTCAACGTAGAACGAGAGGGAAAAAAAAACAATCTTTGATTACCAAATGCCTTTACACCGCACTAAAACATCTGTAGCGTTTGTAAACACCACACGCGGTCGATAATCTTGGTTTGTACCAATACACTAACTCATAACCCTATAGTGTGTGTGTATATATAGTATATATGTGTGTGTATGTATGTGTATATATATACACACACACATACATACACACACATATATACTATAGATTCTAAAAAAGACAAGACATCTATTAGATTGCACAGAATGGTGGAAAATTCAGTCTTAAATTTGCAAGTTCCTTTTCCTCAGTGGCTAAAAGTAATAATACCTGCATGTGATATAGTGCCTTGTCGCTTCGTGGCTACACTGCAATGTGGATAGACTGTATTTTTTTTTCAACTTTCTTTCAAGTTAAGGGATTGGGAGCTTTTTGCATTAACGCACAATTTAATTTTTTTGAGACAAGTTGGGAACTGGATGGACATCTTACAAATGATTTGGGGGTATAGGGAGGGAGATTGAGGCAGGTAAGCGGGACTGAATTATTGCTCTGTCCGAGAGCTGTCAATTTCTGCCTTCGCTAGAGTTTTGAGGCTAAAACTAAGTGGAATTCGGGAATTTCAGGCGCATCCCGCTTTGCTGTGTGAAACTCTGCCCTTTCACCTTACTGTTTCACTTTAAAACAGTCAACGCGTTCAGAAACCATTGCATTTTATGGAATTCACTTTTTATATAACAAAGTGAATGTTTTACATCAAAACTATTTAACACTACCATCCCACAGTAACAAGCAAATTATTCTTTTCAATTTACCTTAGCGTTTCATGGAGTTGGGGATGGGAGTGTTTTTTTTAAAATTCCAGAGCATTTTTTGCAAACAAGTGACGTGACACAAAATAGTCACACACTGAAGTGCTTTGAGATATCTGGATGATCTGATAAGGTGCTATATCAACAGGCAAGGATTATTCTATCATTACTTTGCCTGTCAGATTTTATTATTATTAGAATTGTATCATTCCCCTTGTTGCAAATTGAGAAGAGGTTTGCACACACCATGAACCAAGTAGATGCAGGAGGAGTAGAAATCGACAAGAGACTGAAAAGATGAAACGTTACAAGATTCATCCTATTTTTTTTCTTTCTCTCCCCCCCAAAATCAGGTTTGGTTTCAAAACAGAAGGGCGAAATTCCGGCGGAACGAACGAGCCCTGTTGGCCAGCAAAAACGCCTCCATCCTCAAATCATACAGTGGAGAGGCAGTGGAACAGCCCATGGCCCCACGCCCAGCGCCCAGGGCACAGGACTACTTGTCTTGGGGAACCTCATCTCCCTATGGGTAAACATCTATTGGTAATATAAACGTCATCTATAACCTCACCAATTGTTAACACAGCACCCATCCATCCTGAATGTGTAGCACCCCACCTCACCCACCCTTCCACCTGTCCCACACCTCTCCATGGGCAACACTAATAGAAATGTAATTGGAAAACCTTATGTAGATACACACACCATCGTAAAATGCACTTCCCACAGCCCATGACTGCTGATCCTACCTTTCAACTATTGTTTCTACCAGTTGCCCTGGTAAGAAAGCAGTTATAAATGAAATCACATTATATGTGAGGAATACTAGTTGGTAATAGCAGGGAAAAGTGTAAAAGAGACAAGACATGGAAGATGCCTGGGAATGATAGAATTGGATTATATTATACAGAATAAGTGGTGTGGATGAAAGTGAACAGCATTCACAATTTGAGACCACAACTGACAGAGATTCAGATGATAAGTATTTAAAGTTTACAGCCTTGAAAGCATATGCTGCTATCCCTCATTTTTATTTTTTATAAGTATATATAAAAAAATAGGGAAAGTATAGTGCTCAACAGCCAACACATTTGTGATGGTACGTCTTCTGGTTCTGGTCTATATCATTGAAGGAGATTTGGGAGGAGAGGAGAAGATGGGAAAGGAGGAAAGATGAGAGTATCTTGCTTGATGCACACTGAAATGTCAAAAGGAATCCCTTTTTTCCCCCATCCATTTTTAAAAAAAAAAAACTTGCACATGGTAATTGTCCTCACAAGCACTTTTCTTGCACTGCACTAATGTTTGTGCATTGATACATAGGGCATTGCTTAAAAAGGAGTTACCTTGTTCAGTGGGAATGGTAGATTAGAACAATGTCAGTCATGATATTTTTATTATTCTCTACCACAGTTTATAGCAATAGGAAATGCAAAGTAATTGCCACACTTTCAAATGCTTGCTTTTTAAGCGTTTTAGTTTGTGGAGTTTGGAGTCATGTTCAGTGGCAAACAAGAGGTGAAAAATATATAGGTTCAGATCCGGTTTTGCACTTCACAACAAAGGTAAATGATCAGACATGACATGAGGTCAGTGAGTGCAGAGTGCAGTTGGTGAAAAGCCAGTCTGAAAGGATTCCAGCAGTTTATAAAGAAAAATCTGATCCAAATCTCCAAGTTTGGGTTATAGCCATCAATTTGTCCCCAGGTATCTGCTACTTCTATTAAAAAAAAACATTTTTATTGCATTTTACATAGAATATACTGTTTCACTGAACTAGCTTCAGCGAAGCAAAATGCTGGGTGTTTGCCAATGGGATAGTGACAATTCAACGAGTTTGGCTTGGGAGTTTTCAGCTTCACTGTGGGAATATGCTACAGTAGAATTCAAGTGGTATTGAGCCAACATTCCTGTTTTCTTTTGAAAGCCAAGCTAAAATTTGGACTATAGATTTCCCTTCCTAAAAGAATCTCAAGCTATAGCAGTGCAAATTACAAGCGCTCCCAGATGCTATCGTGTGTGGAGGGTGCCATATACAAACTGCAAGTGGTTGCAAAATGCAAAGCACACTGTTTCCACTTTGCAAAAAAGTCTAAAATATTCTGCAATTCAATCACTGAAATATCTCCAATCTTACTATTGATGCGAAGTCCAGAAGAAGCCATATATATTTAAAATTATCATTAATGGTCAAAAATTATACATTGCAACCTTTCTAGATCTTTTCTGGGGTAATTGCATTCAGTATTTGGCTGGCAAATATGTGACAATTCATCCAATGCTAACCAGGCACCAGTCCTACTTTCTCAAAATGTATTCTTTGTTAACGAGTGGACTCTTACAATTCCCTCTGTAATCCTTTAGATCTAAAGATTCTGGTGAGATCCTGGTCAGTAGGTAGCTGACAGTACAAGATTGGACTTTGTGCTTAGTTCATTAAGTGCTGAATGCCAGTGTGTCGTTAGAGAAAATAGATTACAGTACCAACATTTGTTGCGTGATTGCACCGCTTTACAGCTTCCCCTCCCCATTTAGTCACCTGATATTTCAGATTGAAAACGTCTAAACTTTTAAATTAAAGGTCCCCACAGAAACAATGCTTTATAAAGAGATTTTATGACCACTTGTCAGCATCATCCACTGGTGCTGTGTTTTAGACTTTGGAATAATGTTGTTGGTTAGATGTAGTCTGGATGGAAGGCATTTTGTAGTGAGCACACTGCTAATACAGCACTAAGCTCTGTTATGGAGGTATGGTGAACAACAAGCTTCCCAGATCATCATTACCCACCGTGAAGTTGCTGGAGTGAAACGGGAGTTTTATGCAAGTGCTTTCTTCCAGACTGCCTCTAACCAGTAGTTTTAACAGACCTCAACAAGTGCATTAATCTTCCTTTATAATTGTGTTGCATTTTAGTACTAACCTCCTCCCTTGAAGGTGATATCCAAATAAATATGAATTTTAGTGTACAATGTTGTACAAAAAACAGTAGAAAAAGTATCACACCTCCTGATTGTATATAATCCTGCTCATTTATATATGAAACCTTAAACAATGGAAATGTTGAACACAGAAAGTAACTTTTAAAGTTAACATGCATTTACTGCACAAATCTGTCATAACGTTCATAAAATTAAATTCCAGAAAAATGTCATCATTTAATTACTAAATGCGGAGTGTGTCATGACATGATCTGATACCATCAGAAACAAGAATCTAATAATATATTTGGGGCATTATACAATACAGAATTCTCCCTTCAACATTTTTAAACATCTCATACTCCATACAATCGTAGAAACCCACCACAACATAAAGCTTGAAGTATTAGTAGTAAGAAAACCAATTGCTTACCTCACATGTTGCTTCTGCAGATATGGTGTGTACATTCCAAGCAAGGTTCCTCTAAAACTCTTGTATGTAGCTAAGCTGAGAAGCAAAAAAGCACAACCCATTTACAAAGCACTGTGTCCAGGACCTAGACAAATCAAATTTACATCCCGACAACTCATTGTTTCATCCAGTCCCTTTGAGTGCAAACAAAGAGAGTCTAAGGATCTAAACTGCTTCCCAATGACTAGTTAACAGCCTGTAGATTAATAATCCTTGCATTTTATCACATCTTCGAGACGTCTCAAAGATTAGCACAGTCTGAAATAAAATCTCCCTAATGGCCCATTTAATTATTGCAACTGAAGGATGAGACTCTCTCTCTTGCATGCTCGATGGTTTGTTTGTTCCCCTTCATGCTTCTGCCCTGCTGTGCTGAGGCGCCGTAAAATGTTTGCACTGAGAGCCTTGGCAAAACAGCTTCTCAAACAAGACCCTGGGTATTGTGTGAAAGTGGCCCAGGGATGGCATCATCCTTGCGAGAGTGCTTGACCTTCATTCAGTATCTTTCTGCAGTGGATGGCTTAGATAAGCAACAGCTCGTAAAGGGAGAAAGAAGGGAAAGAGGGCATACAGATGCATCAGTGCATATCCCACCACTCCATTAAATGTAATTTAATTCAGACTATTTTACAGAGGACTTTACAAAGTCCAGGGCAGCTCTCATACCATGGGCTCAGGCCCGTGGAATCCATATTGGTAATTTTACATAATTCATCAGTAATTTAAAACGTTTACATGGTCATCCTAAAAACTGATCCTTGCTGTTCGTTTGTGGTCAGTATTGCTCATCTTAACACTAGACACCAAATCTGGCATCACAGCGCAATGCGGATGGCTCTGCACTTGAGTAATGTGGAGCATCCATACACAGTGTTAAGTGCAGTGCTCCACTCACCAGCATTGAAATGTTAGCACCCAATAATGTGAACTCTCTGTGTTCGTGAACAACCAGGAAGCACTTCTGTCTATTTAATATTCAAAAGAAACTAACGCATAGTTCAGCCTGACTGACATTTTTTTAAGATTCAAAGTTTATAAAGTTTACTTTGTGCCAGTAGCAGTTCCACTGGATTTGGTTCAAAGCTTAGATCAGTGTGAAATCATCCTCTCGAGTCTTTTAATATGACTGATCTCTGATCCATAGTGAAATTCTATTTTGCAGATTTGATGTGATCTTTCACATTGAGTTGCACAAAGCCTAAACTAAAATAAACCTATTACATTGACTGCCTTAAGAAGGCATTTCCAAACACTTAATAATCCAGTAGCATATTGGTTAGAGTACTTGCCTCACAAACGAGAGGACCCAGGTTCAATTCCTCGACAGGGCAAAATCGTAAATAAGTTTCCTTACTCTACAAGCCTCTGTTTACCTAGCAGTAAGTAGGAACTTGGCTATTAGTCAATTGGCCAAATGCTTCCGGGGGGGAATAATCCTTTCCAAAAAAAATGTGGTCACTCACTCATTCAGTTTAAAAAGCTTAACAGAAAATCTTAAATGTTTGACAACTTATTGGTGCTTTTAATAAAATAATAAGGTCCAATTTGCAATATTTCTCAAGGAATCCCTTAGAAAGAAACCCATTAAGAGATACTGCAAATTAGATACTACATGTCACACTTCCATGTATTGGAAGGAATCCTCCCAATTGTTTAACTCAGATTCCTTATGAAGGAATTTCATTGGGAAATATCATATAATAGACACCACCCTCTCACACCTTTTGTTCAAAATGTGAAACCCTGAAAATTGCTCACTATTTTATTGTCTGCCACTGCCTTGATAATCATGTTGTTTGAAAGACAATTTACATGCAAATATGATAATTAGCACCGCAAATTGCATTTAACAAAACATGGCACTTTTCACCTCGTTACACAGCAAGTTTAATAAAACCCAGATTTGGTGCAAGCGTAATATGTACTTATTTTAGATTCGTTCAACGGATACAGCCACATCTATTGATAGTGCTGTTGCTTAAGATTGATTTGACATGGGGCAGGGGGAAAGCAGTCAGAATACACACACACACCCCTAGTTATAACCCAATACTGGCAAATACAATAAACAATGAATTTAATCGATTTACGTTAATCATGTAGAAGGATTGTTGTGTAAATAGTCTGATGTCAATAGAACATGACCAATAACCAGTATCTCCTGGGTAATATCCACATTTTCTGTGCACAACTTTTCTGAACAGGCTGTATACACTCGGAGATCAGCCTTACCCTACTGCTAATCACTTTGGCCGTACTTCCTATTGGACTCCATAAGTCCCATCCGCACTTCCTCAGTACGCAATGGGTATGTATCAACCACATCTGCATACACTATACCCATTGCCTACTTATATGGGGTGTTGTTCAGTCACATTCAAGCTATGTGCACCGCTCACTTTAAAAGATTGGATGTTTAGACATGTCTAGGGATATAATGCATGTATGCGACAGCAAAATATTCAGCCATTTAATTTCATTGGGTACCTCTGTCTCATACATGCCTTAAAATTTGGGTTTATTATTAACTGCAATACTTAAAGGGGAACTCTTAAGTCTGGAGAAAGTCTCTCAGTTTCCAGTGGGGAGACTAGGAACAAAATGTACTCCTCAATTTTAGCTTCTCTTTAGGAGAAAGACATGTACAATATATTATATGTATACACACACACAATTTATTTTTTGCCAATTTTCTCCTCTCCTGAAGTATTCACCTACAAATTGTACAGTCAATCCACTTGACAATATTTTCCATGAAGCGCTTTGATACATCTCAATGACGTGATAAGGCGATATAATCAACTGTAAAGATGATTATTATTATGATCTGCTGTCCTATTGGAGTATGGTATAATGGACGATTGCCTATTTTTTGGCACCACACACAAGTGATCATGTGTGAGTTTAGACAGTGGGTGCAGTGCTTACACAATACTAGACAGTGGAGAGCACCAAAGTAGCCATATGTAATCCTGTTCTTAAGGTTGAGGGCTGAAATTTCAACCTAGTGTCAGCCTGAAAGATTATTGTGTCTCAACATTTTAAACGCACAGAATTGTGGAAAATTCAATACTAGTTTGGACGCTTGTACTCTGCAGTTCAAAGACACAAATCAGCTCTCAAATTAAGAAACTTTTGTTTCCACACATAAGTTCACATGATTTCAAGGCATACTGGTTTTGCGGGCTATGATTGAGTGGTTTTCTGTTGTGCATGCATGCGTATACACACACACACACATACCAGTAGGGGTTCACTGGAGTGGGAATTCAGCCAATTCTCTCCCTGTCTATCGCTCAGCCCATTGTAACACACCCAAATGTTATCCCAACTCAGCACAAAGCCACTAGGGGAGCCATCATATACAATTTTTAGGAAAGAAAAGTATCCTGCAAGAGGTCAAAATGTTAATTCAAAAGGACACAGGGGATATGTATAGTCGCTAGCAAAATATTTACACATCACATTCCCATACCGTATTCTATCTTATGATATTTGTGGAGTAGTTATTCATCTGGGAAAAAAAGTTTGAACAAGCATTTTTTAGTGTAAGTGAATTAATTGGTGCCTCTTTGATATCTGTTAAATGCTGTTGAATGTCTGTGAATGGCGCTATATCAAATGCAAGGATCATTGTTCAAACAAAAAATGTTGTTTCAAAGGGAACCATCATTCAATTCTAACTGCACAAACCCGTAGCAAGCACACTTTCTACAGAACGGGTTTAGCCCTTCAAATAATCTGCCAAACTAAGCTTTAAGTACACGCAGCAGGCCTGCTATACAGATGATGTTGGAGTGAGTGAGAGGATACAATACAAAACAAAATTACATTTGTATAGTGCCTTTCACGTCGGGAGGATGGGGTTTCAGACACAGGGCAAAGCATTGTGAAACTACAATATAGTAGAGATTAGGATGATGTATACAGTTGTATCTACTCCTTACGTCTCAGCGATACTGTATCTTTAATGCAATGTACTGATAAGGCACTTCACTACCCCATGTTGGAACCTCTGCATCTCTGGTGATATTTGGGGGGGGAATGGGGGAAGAGGTTGAATATGTGTGGAAAAAATAACATTTAATACAAATTGGCAATGTTTTGTGTAGAATGCACTTAAGAGCTGCAAATGCTGCTTATATTGGCGTTTGGTGGCAAAGACTGGTCTTATAGAGAGGATTGGACACAAATGTTTCCCAGTCAGTGAGGTCAGCGGCTGGCGTGCGAATTGATTTAAATGTTCCATTGCACGACTGTAATCCCTAGTGGATCATACCAAAGAGCCAGTTCCCACTTTTTAATCTTGTTCTTGGTATCATTTGACAAAAGCAGAAATATTAAAATCAACTGTTTGCTTATTGCCTGAGCTCATGTTAATACATAATGGAAAATTTAATCAGTTACTTTAACTGAATTATTGTGGATTAGCACATTAAAGACAAGTGAACTAAATTGATATATAATGTTGAGATCGCAATATAATTAATGGGTTTATTTGTGTTCCACTATTATAGTTACCAGTGAAATTTTGTAGAAATGTAGGAATGTGAAGCTGTTGAATGTTGGATCGTAAAACAAAACCATATTATCCCGGTATATAGGTAGCAGTTCTGTTTGTCTCCGTATTTTTATGCATGGAGAGAAAACCTCTCTTATTGATGTTAATCATAAACTGTTCTATTTGTCCCACCATTTTCTTGCTGTAAGTGAAATCAGTGAAATAATGATATTTACAAAGTCAGGCAGTCAATGTGCACACAATGCATAGGGAGATACATAGGGAGAAATGGAGATTTGGTGCACAAGTAGACTATAGGTGAAATGGGTGAATGCCAGAGAGAGAGGTCTTGAAAAAAAATTGGATGCAGCATGCAGAAGAATTATTTGATCAGAAATTAGTTAATATTATGCCCATGACATCTGTTGTGGTACAATCATGTCTATGGAATAGCTGTCACGTTATGGTCCGTGACTCAAATTATAATATTAAGGTTCAGAGGATGGATTCTTTCTTTCACAGACACCCACACACATACTAATCTCAGGTTCATCTGCTCCTTGTAACAGTTTTTTTTGCTGACAAGTATTATACTCTCAGTAGAGATTGTTTGTTTAGCCAGTGTTGTCTCAGCCAGTGGTGCCCGAGTTTTTATTCAGATTGATGCCAAATCAAAGTACATTTATGGTCAATTTAGCCATTTATTCAATGGGCCAAACAACAAATGGCTTGCTGAATCAATTTTATTATCTATTATTTTGCAAGGATTATTATTATTTTTCTATCAATTCGTGTTCTGTGTGAACTCAAAATAAACTAAAACAAATCTGGGCTGGTGACACCTGTATCAAGGATGGGGTTATTAGGACTATAAAAGGGAAGTGTTTGTGTATTGAATTAAATGTTATAATTGAATTCCCTCGATCGTTGCTCCTCTCTATCAGTCTTTGAATCCTGCTAACACCTGACTATTTTGACCTCGCCCATCTTCCCTTACTCTTCCCATTCCCCCTTCCTCCTTATTTGGTGTCCAACCCCATCATTGTGAAACACTGAGGCAATATCCTTCTTCGAAGGGAGCTATGGAGGAGCGAAATCTTAAACCTTTCCTTACTCCACACGCCTGTATTTACTTAGCATTAAGTAGGAACCTGGTTCTTAGTTTGGTGGATCATTTTCCAGGGGTAATAATCCATTCAAAAAATTATACATAATAATAATCACTCAATCCATGACTTTTTGTGGGGCACTGCTGTGCACAATTGGCTGCCGCGTTTAAGCATTGTTTCAAAGATTGAAAAAATGTGTTTCACTCACAAAATATAGTCAATTCACTTTACAGAATATTCTGTGAAGGGCTTTGAAACATCTGGAAGATGTAAGGATTATTATTATTGTGTCTTGCGAAACGCTTTGAGACGTGCCAGCGACATGTTAAGGCACTATGTCAAATGCAAGGATTATTGTTTTATTATATTATTAAGTAAATACAAGTTGTTGCATTAAGTGTGCTGACATAATCATAGCCATGTTCCATTAACTCCGGTTCTCTCTAGTTCACATTCTCTCTGTGTTTCCACAGTGCAATGGCTGCCTACACCTCCTCATGTGCCACCACTAACCCAGCCCAAGGAATGAACATGGCTAACAGCATTGCAAACCTTCGTCTCAAGGCCAAAGAGTACAGTTTACAAAGAAATCAGGTGCCTACGGTGAACTGAGAGCAGCTGACAAGAGGGGGAGGGGGGCTGCTATGGACAATAAAATGACAGGTCCATACATTTCCTGAGAGCGACTCCCTGCAGCCGACAAGCCTGAGGAACACATCCCAATAAGGAAAAAAAATAACTTAACGAAAGCAAAAGTCAAGAGGCCAAACAAAAAAACATGAACACGCACAAATACTTGATCTGTATAGAGCGAGAATGGTTCATGTGCTTTCTCCCTGTGGATGATTGAGGTACAAATATACTGTAGTAAGTATATTCCAGTTCTGTCAGTCTCTCTCTTTCTACCCCCTTTCTGCTGAACCTAAGATTCTGGGACCAACTTTTCAAATCTATGCAAGACCAATGCTGAGAACCTTTGTGTATGTGTGTATCTGTTTTTTTTTAAAAAACAAAAGGATTTGGTCTCCAGGTAAATGTGTATTAAAGGTATATTGTAATGTTTCTATACAGATTTTACATTTTGTATCCACAAGAAGGTTATTGTTAGCGATTGCATTCTTTTTCTATAGAAGTAAGCTTTGATGAGGCTTTTGTTTTGTTGTTGAGGACATTTTTTTGTGAAATAAGACGACAAATCTAGTTTTCTATTCCGTCTCACGCCTGTAACAACTTTACCGAGTCTTTGAAGAAATGGTTTTGTGTACAATAAACTAGCAAAACACACAAAAAGACGTGGGTTTATATCTGACTAGAAATACGTAAATAAATTATTATGAAAATAGCTCGTGAATTAATGGGTCTTTTTGCAAAGTTAGTATCAGGCTGATACCATAACACTGATGAGGATGAGAAAATGAACACATTGCTATCTGTGTTTGAACTGAGCATGAAACAACACTTTTAAACAGATTTGATTCCAATTAATCAACGTTTAATTTTTATTCTCCTATAAAATATGTTTCTGCAATCATTCAAAGAAACTTTTTTAAATTTGGAGCTTAAAGTAGAACACAGACAACAGGCAGTTTGATATTTGTGTAACTGGCTTTGTTGGGCTGAAACTGTTGTTTCACATCAAGTGTATAATACAAAGATTAGTTCCATCTGTGCATCATTTCTATCTATACATAAATCTAGATACAAATTATTTCAAACTAATTTAAATCATTCTCTAATATGAATCTATATTTTTGTATCTTTATTATCAGACTCAATTTATTAGATCTAGATTTTGGTTTCTATTATGTATCTCTGTGTCTGTTACATTTTATACAAATAGTCATTTTATATAAATATTGGCATTAAGTCCATTTTGTATTAAAATTTTACAAGGGAGAAATTTCACCAGAGTCTAGACTTACTCTATTTATGTATGATTTTGGTGCATCCAGAATTTAGCAAATTGCTGAATTCAGTCTCAACTATAAAGTTGGTTTTCTGTAGTTTTAATTAACTTAGAGAAAAATGGTTTAAAAATTAAGGACTGTATATTTACTTGCCAAATTGCTTTAAAATAGTACATAAATAGAGTAAATCTAGATCCAGGTAATATTTTTTCTGTGAAGCGATTTAAGACGTCTCAACGACGTGTTAAGGCACTATATCAAATGCAAGGATTATAATTATTAATAGGCTTCCAAATCAAGGAAGAATTTAAGAAACGTTCCACAATTCTGCATAATAATCCTTGCATTTGATATTTAAGACAAAATGATCTTACAGGTTGAATATCCCTGAATATAGGAAATCTCAGGCATCAGAGGTGTTTAGAGTATTGATAGGATTGTTACAACTGAGCCCTACAGTAAGTGCAGGTTCTAAAATATCATATTTGGTCACCTGCTCTAACTCGCTCCCTCACAAACATACTTTTGTCACAAATGAATACCAGATCAGTTACTGCATGGAATGTGTTGGTTTCTTGATTTCTCATCTCTGAAAACAATAGATCTTGCTCCAGCCAGGATGCTGCTCAGCTGTGTTCAGGGCTGAAAGCCAATTCTAACATGTTTCTAACGTGTTGCATCAGCAAGTTGGATAGTTTATGCTCAAACCCGGATAACATAAATAAAAGTAACCTTGCCATTGTGCTCCACTTACATATATGTCTATCAAGTAGAAGGCAGGCAATTGGAGTTGAGGTACAGATCAGCCATGGTCAAACTTCATCTGGCCCACCTGCTCCCTCCATAACCTGTAAATGTTATACTACTGAAAGGGAATCACAAAACTATCACTTACACGGCCTGCGGATGTTTCTCAAATAGGGCATCTGGCCCTCAGCAGTCAAAAGGTTGGATCACCCTAATCTAATAGAATGGCAGAACAGGCTCAAGCGGCTAAATGGCCTACTCCTGTTCCTATGTTTCAATGCAAGTAAAAGGCAAGAGATTGCCACATCTGCATTAGCATGTGGACAGCAGCAACATATGTGAGGCCGACTGTACATGTTTGAGAAGCTTCAGAAATCATCAAAACCAGCCTCCAGCATCACCCCAAACATTTTCTCCTGTATGAAACATTTTATAATTGTGTTACTTACTCCCTGGTGAATATTTTGATCTGGATTGACAATGAAACACACATCACTTGGGAATATCCAGCACAGGAGCGGTTCAGATGAAGAAAGCAGCCGCCTTTGGCCCCTTTCATCTCAGCCTTTCAGAATATCCACCCCACAGTCTTCCTGTTACAGCAACAAGCTGCTTCTGGAATGAGTGCAGTGTCCTGCCACACTTCTCTCTAATCGGTTCCAGCCATCAATTAAAGAAATATTTCCTGGTATACATCCCAACATTCCTCTTCACAACTCGCCTTTTCCATTGACTTGGTATATCTGAAAATATTGTTCACAGTTTATTTTCTGAATCCCTATCAAGCATCTTGCATATCTCTATGTTGTTTGGGTTCATAATAATAATACTGATAATAATCTTTGCATTTAATATAGCATCGTATCCCATCGTTGAGATGCCTCAAAGCACTTCACAGAATATATTGTAAAGTGGATTGACTGCATTTTATGGGTGAAAGCAGCAGCTAATTGTACAATGCAATGTCCCACAAACAGTCGTGGATTGAGTGACCAATTTTTTTTTAACCCCTGGAAAGCAATCTGCCAATCGACTAACAACCGGGTTCCTACATACTACTAGGTAAACAAAGGCATGTGAAGTAAGCTTCTTGACACAGGTACTCCATTGGTTACAGCTCTGCCTTCTTCAAGAGTTGGCCTGTGGTTGAACCATTATCATATTTGTACAGTATTTCCATACATGAAATGCATATAGCCTAGAGCCGTACATACTTGGACAGTGCGACACTGAGGGAGAGTTGTAGGTACCATCATTTGTGCTTGTTGTGCTTGGAAGATTTCTGGCATCATGAAAAAAAGGGAGTTCTCCCAACACCTTGGCCAAAACTCCTCTCATGAACATTGCTCTTTTTTTAAAAAATGATTACTTATATTATTAACTGTTTTGGTTTTGCTTAACTAATAGTCACTGCATTGCAAAGTAACTCATTGCACAAAGCACTTTTAAACATCGTGGACCCAGTTATCAACTGTCAAATGTTCAGCGTTACGTGCTGAAAATAATAATCCTTGCATTTGATATAGCACCTTATCACATCTTTGAGTGCTTCACAGAAAATACTGTAAAGTGAATTGTCTGTATATTTCTGGGCAAAACATTATTATTATTGTCTAATGGGCAGACAAACATTACCCTGAGATATATTTAACTAAAACATTATATGAGCCCATAGGCATGATATAGGAACAGAAAGAGTCCAGCTAGCCAGCCAGTCTGCTCTAATACACATTTCCCTATTATATAATGCAAGTCTGTCTACATGCTCTAATAAAAAGGAACATCCTCAATCAGATACAATAAAATTTACACTTATATATGATACATCCTTCATTTATAAAAGGTCCCAAGGCATTTAACAGTCCTGGCCTGGCACCCGAACTGGGGGTGGGAGTCAAAGTGGGTGAGGAGGGGGAAAATGAGCAAAAGACATAGATCTTGATACAGCCCTTGAAAGAGGTGACGGAGGGAGCAATCAAGGACCAGGTTGTAGGATGAAATACAATTCAATCCACGTCTGAACAATCATCCTTAGAACAGTATCTTCCTAAGGCTCAATTGGCACTGAGAAGATATGCTTAATGAAGCCAAACAAGTCTGGATTACTCCAAGGAATTGTTGGTGGACATTCCCTTCCCTCCACATTTTGGCTCAATTAAACTTTGAATTACGGATAGTTTCTAGTCCTGTGAGCCAAAGTCCCAACAGGTAGGGTGGTCTAAGCAGATGAGCACTGCACAGAACAAAAGCAACCCTACATATATCCTGGACAGAACAGTAAGACTGAATAAAATACAAATGTTAGCTGGGGTGAATTCTCCACCCAATTTAAGTCAATAGGAAGAAACAAAATTGAAGATTTCAGAACCGTGCTCTGTGCTCCTGGCAGCAACAGTTACATTAATCTTTGCCATAGATGTTTAAAAGAGAAGAAAAAAACATGAACACAAAAAGATTTAAATCTGGGTTTAATTTGTGAACCATAATAAACCGTTAAGATTGCCGAGCAGAGGGACTGGGCCGTTCAGTGGGCCAGCGCACCATACTTTCACTTCAGAGAGCTGAATCCCCCTCAGACTGGTGGGCTGATAATCTTACTAACGGTCCTGCATTCTAGGAATTTGGGACCATCTCAACCAAGTTCCTCTTTCTTAGTCAACCTGGTGTCAAACATAAAGAAATCAAAAACACATCACTGTGTTAATACTATCCAACCAAACAAGTTCATCATGTGCACATCACTTACATATGGAAATTTCCCAGGTCACTGGGAGAAACTCCTTTTTGAATAGTGCCATAGGATTTTTAACGTCCAACCTGAATAGGCAGATGGGACCTCAGCTTAACGTCTCATCCAAGGACGACACTTCCAACAATGCAGCAGCACCACCAGCACTACATGGGAGTTTCAGCTTAGACTATGAGCATCAAATCCCAATGTGGGGCGTGAACCCACACACTTCCAATGTGGAGGCGAGAGTGCTACCAACTGAGCCAGAATGACATTTCCCTACACTTTCTCTTATTTCCCACACCTCCACCTCAAATACCCTGAATCGATCTGGCATCTATGGCCTTTTGGAGTATTGAGTTCTCACCATCTTCCCTGTGGAAAAAATGGTTCGTCGATTTCACTTCACACACAATATTATATAAAATGTATATATGTATGAACAGACAAGCAGTTGAACCCCACACCTTTCCAGAAATAAAGAGGCAGAGGCAGATTTAATTTCTACCCCTCCCACCCTAGAAAGTTAAAATGCTTTCACAGAATGAAAAGATGGATTTGAAATTAGTTATTACTGTGTTGCCATTTTTATGAATTCCTCAATAGAGGCAATTATCCATAATAATAATCCTTGCATTTGATATAGTACTTTAGCACATCTTCGAGACTCAAAGAGCTTCAGAATATACTGTAAAGTGAATTAACTGTATATTTTGTCAGCGAAACATGGGTAGCAGCCAATTGCGCACAGCAGTGCTCCACATGGATTGAGAGACCAAATTAGTACTTTGTTTTTGAAGGGATTATTATCATTGGAATGGTACTGTTCTTATTTTCTTTGGTATGTAAAAAAAATAACTCCTACTGCAGTGTAAGCTTTGTAAGGTGGGGTGGATGGGTGGGGGAGGGCTTATTATTGGTAGCTTCAGGACATAGTCTGGCAAATCTCATATAGCG